CAGCCTCCCCTTACCCCAGCCAACTGAGAGCAAACAAGCTTTCCTGATATGCTATCAAACCAAGGGGTAACTTTTAATTCCTAGGAAAGACTTGTAAACACTATGACACAGAAGCCTTTCTATTGCTTTATCGTGTTGTAAATATTGCAAAACAGAGGTTGTAGGTTAAAAGTGAATTGTATTTCTAAAGATTTCATTTTTCTTTTTTGATTTCCTTGTTTTGTTTGCTTGTTTTACACTTTATTAGCACCTGTTTTACAAACATGACTTAAGAGTCCAATGTGGTGATTTTTGAAGATGAAGTGGGAGATGGAAGAGAATTCTAGGCCTAGGTAAGTAATTTGATAAATAATGAAGAATCACAACTTATAAATGCAGCAATGGCTTCAGAAAAGACACAACTACAAATCACATTAAAGGAGCAAATAATTTTAAATGGCCTTTGAAATCCCAGAGTAAAAATTTGTTTAAAAAAAGTCAGTCACCTTCAGTAAAAAAGTCTAAAAAGCAAGTTAAGTAGCAGAACTTTTTGACTAAAAAAAAAAAATGAAAAGAAAAGAAAAAGCCCCAAAGTTGGTAAGAACTTCACAATTCTAGTATATAAATTTATAGACAGTAAAATGCTAGAATAATACATAATGTAAGAAACTAGAAAAGGTTTCCTTCTGGAAGTTTGATAAATTGATGTGATTGATGACATGCTATAAGATGCTGAAGAGATTTTGTGTAATAAACCAAAAAACAACTTTTTCTCCTCCCTGATGGATTGATTTCAATAACGAATATCATATGGTAGCATTTGTAAGATATGTAAATTGTGGTGAAATTGAATTTTTTCCATGATAATAAAATGTTGCCCAAAACAAAGGCCAAGATACATGCACTGTTTTGTCTTCATATTGGAAACAAAAGGCACGTTTTGGAGAAAGTGTGTTGGCATTTGCACTGATGGTGCCCTATCAATGATTTCAGCATTGTTCCCCGAGGGAAAAAAATCCTGATGTATTCACAACATACTTCCCGCCCCTCCTCCCAGAGAAATGGTGGTGTCAGGCATTTTTGAGGCTGAAATGAAAAAAATTCTGGCTGATACTACAAAAATGGCTCAACTTACTCAAGAATGGCTAGTTCACTCAAGAATGTTTAAAGAAGTATGTAGAAACCTGGACAAAGGCCACATAAATCTGCCATGTGCAAACCATCTTATGGCTTACCGTGGTCGGCAAACTGCGGCTCGCGAGCCACATGCGGCTCTTTGGCCCCTTGAGTGTGGCTCTTCCACAAAATACCACGTGCAGGCACGCACATACAGTGCGATTGAAACTTCATGGCCCATGCACAGAAGTCGGTTTTCGGCCTGGACGAGTCTATTTTGAAGAAGGACTGTTGATATTTGGCTCTGTTGACTAATGAGTTTGCCGACCACTGGTTAGGAGACCACTTGTTCTCGGGAAAGCCAGCTGGCAGGTCATGAATATGCTTAAACATTCTGTAAACAGGCCATGTGGCAAGGACCTGAGTCCTCTTGGCAAGAGACAGCATTAGCTTGCCAGGCACATGAGTGAGCAACCTCAGAAATTGATCCTCCATCTCCAGTTGTGCCTTCAGATTACTGCAACCCCAGTCAACATTTTGATTGCAACCACATGAGAGACCCTAAACCAGAACCATTAAGCCAAGCTGCTGCTTAATATCTGACCTACAGAGATTAGCAAGATAATGCTTGTTTTAAACCAGTAGGTGTTGGGGTAACATAAACTAATACAGATTTTGTTCTTTTTTAATAGGATGTTTGAGCTAAAAAAGTGAACGGTGGGGATACATTCAAAAAAATAGTAGGCTAGATTTTGCCAAATGCTCTGAAGATCAAGAATGGCTGCAGAAACTTAGCCTATTTAGTAGACATTTTTCATCGCATGATGTAGTTGAACAAGTATATTCAAGGACCTGGAGAAAATATTTTGATTTCAAGTGACAAGATTATTGATTTTAAGTAGAAATTGAATCTTTGGGAAAATCATACGACAAAAAGAAATCCTGAAATAGTTACACTGCTGCTTGCACTTTAGAGTGAAGAAGTTTCAAGTGTCAAGTCGAGACCAAATCACTGGGGGAAATTGCAGAATAAAACTGAACAGTATTTTCCCTCCCTTTCAACACAAGTGTATGGCTGAATGAGGGCTCCTTTCTCTGAATCTTCTTTTCAGCCTAATTACCTAACTGTAAAAGAGGAAGAACTTCGTGAGTTGATTATTATAAACATAAGATGAAATTTACTGATTTGCATTTCTACAAGTTCTAGACTTCTGGGAAAGAAAGGCATTCTGCCATTCATAGGAAAGTAATAAACATTTTACTATAAGTTTCAATTTCTTGTGTAAGCTTTTTGTCTAATAAGCATTAAGAACAATGACAGAAATCATCTCATTTTGGTTGCAAAGGAAATCTATGCATGCCAGTCTTTTTAAAAAAATACACTTAAAAATATGTTTTTTAGAGAGAGAGGAAAGGAGGATAGAGAGAAACTTCAATGAGAGAGAAACATCATCAATCGGCTGGCTCCTGCAACCCCCACTGGGGATTGAGCCCCAAACCCAGGCATGTGTCCTGATCTAGAATCAAACCAGTGACCTCTTTCATGGGTTGATGCTCAAACACTGAGCCACACCGGTGGGCTGTGTATGCCAGTCTTAACACTGACTCAGAACTGAGAATATACAGAGCAAAAGAGAAGCAAAGATTTCATACTAAATAGGTAAATTTCATTATTTTTAGTTTCAAAAATCTCTCTCTCACACACACACACACACACACACACACGCCTGTCAACATAAGAAACATTCAAACTTATGAAGAATTTTTCTGAGTTTATTTGAGCCCAAACTGTTGACAATTGCTGGGAAGCATAATCTCAATGGATTGAGAAAATGCTCCAGAGAATGGCAGTTTTGCACCTTATTTTATACATTATAATAAAAAAAGGAGACTAAGTGGGTTACATGAAATCCATTGGTGAT